CCACGACTCGAACTCAGAGTCGGTAAAACAAGGGTAAATCATGGACAAGGGAAAGATTACAGTGAGATCGTTGAAAAAGAAACAGGATAACAAGACAATATGTCCCGGAAGGGTAAGCGTCTTCTGTCTCCTCTTCGACGACACCAGCCTGTAAATCTAGGTCAAATCTAAATTATGTCACAGGTAGTAGTGACAACACGATCAAAATCAACGACCGTCATATCAGACAAAGACATACCACATTTCCCTGCGATGTCCTGATGGCGACCATAAAAAACCACCATGGTGTTCATCAAACCCTGTGTGGTAAGTTTTGCTGTCAGTAGTCGACATCTTTCACGGAAGTCATGTTTCGGTGCAAGGATATAACTGTCTCATTCATAAGATAATAATGAAGTTTCTTAAACTTGATGAGTGTAAGCATGGTGTGGTATTTTTAATTGATATTTGAAAATTGTTACGTTTTTATGAAAATAATATAATTCAAATTTGTATATCGTCGGGTCCAAAGGTTAAATTCACAATCACGGATTTTAATTATATTCTTAAGTTAAAATGGTGTAATTGAAATATCAGGTAATTTTGCTTTCTTTAAGTGTTTTCTTTAATTTATGGACTTTTCTTCTCTACGTCCAGACCATAGTTTTTTGTACGGATGATATACTCTTTTCAATCGTTGTGATTAGTACACAGGTGAAAATTCGCACATATCTGTCATATCAGTATACTTTAGATGCTCTTCCTGGCCTATGTTTTAATAGTATTTTGCTTTTCGACATCTGCTTGCTCATATACCAAAGCTTTATTTTCAAAACGAAAACAAGAAAACAATTTGCTTCGATGTATAGATACTTGCAAAAAGTGCTCTGGGTTCACTTATGTTTCGGTCTAGTTATTACTTCATAATGGAAACTGTTTATGGCATCGCTATAAATGGATCCGATAGAGTTGATGTGTCACGTCCAATACTGTTGTGATCATTTTAAAAAGACCTCTACTGATGATGTACTGATGAAGACAACATTTAAATGTTCCATTAATATTGCAATACTGTTTACATCAAACTGAACGTCACGACAGTTATTAAGGCACTGCCATAACCCCTTAAGAGTTTGATGGACACTAACACACTAAATAAAAACTAAACCAACATTCGATAGCATTAGTGCTAAACATTTGTATGTACATGTGTTTTGTCATTCCTTTAATACATGCGTGAATGATAAGACATCTAATGTAAAATGTAAATACCACGCCGATCTCGATTCCGAACCCTCCCAAATCATATCTGATTGACGTCAATTCAATCCAGTGATTACTAAAGCGTATTCCCTCTCATTAGTTATATCAACAACATCTTATCCGTGCGTCACAAGCATCCCCCCAAGCACCTGTCCTTATATACCCCTGATGTACGCTGATATATGTTCGTTATTTTGATTATTTTTCAAAATGGTATGTTACATCAATTAAAAAATAATAATCCATTTATACATTCAACCAACGGAGGAATAACTAGCGCTACTTCTAAAGCTTACATATTCACGACTAAATCCGACACATATGTGACTATCGCAGATACACGTCCTATATGCTGTCTTTCTTTGTCTGTGCATTTTCCAATCTCTATATACCAAAACAATGTCATAATTTTTACAATATTCTTATAAGTCTGCCTTGGCAATGGAATGAGTTGAAATAAGACAATTAACGACCCATTATGTATCTTCCTTTCTTACTAATCCACACACTGTATGTCGATATTTAGACTCTACTAACCTCCCCTATCCATCCCCTACTCGTCACACTTCAGACTCCACTAACTTCACCTTTTTTTCTTACAGTAATTGAGCCAGAGTCCTGTCCCGTGTGTGTAGTTTAAATAGAACCTTGTTCATTTAAGTATGCAATTGGAATACGATCAACATTTCTAGTAAAGGAGGCAGAAACAAGTGTCTTAGATACTTATATAGTGGAAACTGACAGATACGCCAAACCTGTGATTCCACTATACAGGAACGTTTGTGTAAGATATGTACAAATGTCAATAATTGTACAGAAGATGAATAGCACTTTTTAATTGAATGCAATGTTTGTAATGACATCAGATCGTCCTTATTTAATTTAGTAACTAACATTATTAATGATTCTACAGGTAAAAAAGCAGATAAATTTAATTTATAATGTCTTCTGAAGAATTACACATTCCACCTACAAATCACGTGTACAATGTGTAAAGAAGACGTAGTAGTCTACGCAATTGATAAATAGATACGATTTTCAAAGGTGTCTTGTAAGCCAGGTTCGGCTGAATATCACATCAAATTACATTTCCTATTTTTAGGTGTTACTTTTGGTACCAGGGGTCAGTAGGGAACTCTTTTTATTGAAAGCAGTCTTCTCTCTCGCCTCCATTATTCCTATCCTTACATGTCTGTTGATCATAATTGTAATAATCTACTAAGTAGTGTGCACTCCCCTACCCTCGGTAACCTGAATTACATTACTAAGTAGAACTAGAATATTTTATTATTATAACTTTTACTTCTCAAGCCGTTTTAATGCATTAAATGCAGAAGAAAAAATTGTATCTGTCATTTTGTACGACATCAAGAAAGCTTGTGATGAAGGGGCTGTTCCGATCACTTCCTCCCTGGACTGATATCTGTGATGATTTGGGTCAATTTATTAATATCTGACATATCATACCTGTTTTAAAAATATTATATATATGAGATGACTGATCCCTGCTATGTTTCTTTATGCTTTCATGCCATGTAACTGTATACTGTTCAAATGTATTAATTTAATTGTGATATATGACACTCAAATACACAATGTTGACTAGACCTAACTTGACTGAGAGTGAAACCAACATTATATAGAATATGGAAAAGATTGAGAGAGACTTTTTCTCTATCAACAGCATTACGTAATTAGTTCATTTGTTATGTTATTTATTTTAAATCTGCTTATAGATAGCACACATACATATATAACTATTAAACACATGCAAGACAAGCATATGCTATGGACATATTTGTTATGACGATAAAACAAACTAATGTTGAAAAAACGCGCCCAAATTCTTTGTTTATTATTGATCAATATATCTTTAAATAAAAATGACTGAAAACTTACAATGGAATGTATTCTGTTGTTTAGTTATTCTCTAGCGCACATAACATAATGTAAGTTTGTCATCACCAATATTTTTAAAATACGCTCCGCATGTACAACGCATTGTTTGTATGTCTATACATGCTACGTGATGCTATGTACTATCAATTAATATATGTTGACTATTTCATGTTATATAAATATAATTATAGTTTTGTTGCAATCTTAAAATGACCATTAAAGAAATTGTATCATCGTCAAAATCGGTATTATAAGTGCATATCTGCGGATTAATTACTCATACGGTACAGTCGTATTGTGAAAATTTGGGTTACAAACAAAAGATGCATGTTCATGCTTATATTCAAGTTCTTTATTACCCGGAGTCGTTTTTAATTACTAACTGAACGTATGGTAACCTATTACATGTACGTGTACGTATCTGTTGTTTTTCTTCCATTTGGAGGATATAAAGAAATAATAGCAATATATCTGGGAGAAGGCGTTGATAAGTTGTAATAACTTTGTTTACTTTTGGCAATAAACGTGTTCAAACATATATATATATATCTTATAATAAATAAAACTAACCAAGAAGACACGTGTTTTGATTTATTTATATTTTTACCGTCACGTGGACATTTAAAACTATTTATCGCTATATCTTATTATATATGATAAAATTATCATGCAAACTGTCAAATAATAATTATTCTTTATAAGCAGATCAAGAGAATATATCTTCCTCTTTAGTGTGTAACAAATTTTCATGAGAATTGTGTACAATACTTCTTATACAATACAATTACATTTGACCCAATTATATAAAACATAACAATATTTAAGTAAAAAAAAAAAAAAACCCAATAAATTTCTTTTTACATAATTCATAAAAGAACTTTAGTGATTAGATATGATACTATAATGTGTGTAAATGTGTTTAATTTCTGTATCTTAATTTTTTCTGCACTGTTATTTATTAAGCAATACACCTGGCTCACTTAATAAGAAATCCTGCTACTCCCTAAATTCTTAAACTTGAACGTTTAGAAATCCTGTTAGCATATATTTACTATGGAAAGCTAGGTCATACACAGTCTTTATGATTATATAAGAACAATTTATATATGATATAATATCGTTAAATTTGATGTATTTCATATTTTTTTTTTAAATAGGATGCAAAGCACTGACTGTTTGCGTCATTTTTCGTTTAACAAAAATTTGATTTTATGTATCTTACATTAATATATTTTAGTCAAATTTTTATATGAATTTCTTGGCTATGTTTACAAAGGTTGTTTCGATAAATTCACACATATTATCCATGCCTTAAATGAATTCTTCTATATAATATAATCTTTGGTTGATATACATTATTAGTACAATAAAATATTGTATTATTGAAAAGAAGTAATCAAGTGTAGACATAAATTACTCTTCTTTTCTAATAAAAAGAATAATCGGATATTTTTAATTTAAACACATAAAAACCCATTATACGTCCCTGGTTTAAGAAAGGTATTTTTATTCTTTTTGTAATCATTCTCGCACTAGAGGTATCACATTTATATGGTATATTTATGGCATATATTGTATCAGGCGTTCCTAGTTATTTTCAATCAAGTATATCTCTAAATCGTGATAACTCGACAAATTACGAGTTTGATATCAACCTACACGACTCCTATCCGTAACTAACAATTAATGTTACACCATCATTTGACAACTTCTATTTCCTAATCCTCATTTTCTTTCCCTCAATCAACAAGACTCGTATGATATTCTGGATGATGTCCAAGATTTCCAACATGAAAATATGAAGCTATTTCATCTATTATTGTAAACATGTCGACTCAAAGAATACTAGAAAGTAATACCTGATATTTCCGGAAGTTCAATTTCATTTTTTTCTGGAGATATCCGGTGTCCCTGTGTATGTCCAGGCGTCCGATTTTCCAATGATGTCATTGTCGGATGCACAGACAATTGACAAGTTCTGTCCTCCCTAGTGCTATGCCACAGGGGTGCGGCGTAGTGGTACCCGTGGGACTGGGCGTGCCCTGAGGGTACGTCGTAAAGTCCGTCTGAAAGCCCGGAGGCCAGGGTCATTGTCTCCATCATCGTGTACGAGTATACGTCAGCACTGCTTAAGCACCTTCAGAAATCTCTTATTCAGATTAAAAAATGGATTCACCGATACACAAATATTTCTATTGTGCATCTGTTATGAAATTACAAGCGTAAATAAAAAAAGTTTTTCAAATAGGCAGCACTTATGATATATCACATACTGTTTTAACACTCCATTGTAAATCCTGTCATTACAAACACGTCGATGAACCAGACATAATGTTGTACTTTACTCGAGAGCAGCTGTCAACAGCAAATATGGCTCGTCTACTGAACCTGGAGGTTCGATCCTTGATTTATCAGAGGTAAAGATAGGTCGTGGTTTGTCAAGTCTTATCACTCGATCTAACTCCGAATAAGGGCTATCGAGAGTCCTTTCCTCCTCTCGAGATGTCACATATCGTTTCTCCGTAGCTTCAAAGTAAACTTAATGTCCTATGGTGTGTGAAGTATCCCAACACAGAATACGTGAACGTGTTTGGGGGTTTTCTTATTTCATAGGCTAAACATATATCAGAAATAGACTATGTCAATATTTGCTATAAACAGTGATAGGAGGATGGCCCACCCTTTGTGCATTGTTAACCAATTACGTGTGTTAGTGCAAACCTAGGTTAATCCCCCCTGGCTTTATTGACACACAGCCCTGGGCACTTCACAGTCAGCACTGATAAACACGGGGGTCTTCGGGGAAGTCACAGGTTCAAAGGGAGGCACGTTTGACGAAGGGGTAGACGTAGGCACCGGTTCATGCGGAGGAAAGTTTGGTGAGGGAGAGTAGATAAAGGGGCCTCTTGTGTGGCACCGGTTCATAGGGAGGAGAGCTTAGAGAGCTTAGACTGAGAGGTCCCTTGTGAGGCACCGTTTCATAGGGAGGAGAGCTTAGAGAGGTTAGACATAGAGGCCTCTTGTGAGGCACCGGTTCATAGGGAGGAGAGCTTAGAGAGCTTAGACATAGAGGCCCCTTGTGAGGCACCGGTTCATAGGGAGGAGAGCTAAGAGAGGTCAGACATAGAGGCCTCTTGTAAGGCATCGGTTCATAGAGAGGGGAGATTGGCGAGGGAGGTGTAGACGTCGGGCCCTTTTGTGAGGCACCGGTTCATAGGGAGGAGAGCTTAGAGAGCTTAGACATAGAGGCCCCTTGTGAGGCACCGGTTCATAGGGAGGAGAGCTAAGAGAGGTTAGACATAGAGGCCTCTTGTAAGCCACCGGTTCATAGGGAGGAGAGGTAAGAGAGGTCAGACATAGAGGCCTCTTGTAAGCCACCGGTTCATAGGGAGGAGAGCTAAGAGAGGTCAGACATAGAGGCCTCTTGTAAGCCACCGGTTCATAGGGAGGAGAGGTAAGAGAGGTCAGACATAGAGGCCTCTTGTGCGGCACCGGTTCATAGGGAGGGGAGCTAAGAGAGGTCAGACATAGAGGCCTCTTGTAAGCCACCGGTTCATAGGGAGGAGAGCTAAGAGAGGTTAGACATAGAGGCCTCTTGTAAGCCACCGGTTCATAGGGAGGAGAGGTAAGAGAGGTCAGACATAGAGGCCTCTGGTAAGGCATCGGTTCATAGAGAGGCGAGATTGGCGAGGGAGGTGTAGACGTAGGGCCCTTTTGTGAGACAGCGGTTCATAGAGAGGGGCGATTGGCGAGGGAGGTGTAGAAGTCGGGCCCTTTTGTGAGACCCCGGTTCATAGAGAGGGAGGATGGGCGAGGGAGGTGTAGATGTCGGGCCCCTCTGTGAGACACCGGTTCAGAGGGAGGGGAGATTGGCGAGGGAGGTGTAGACGTAGGGCCCTTTTGTGAGACCCCGGTTCATAGAGAGGGAGGATGGGCGAGGGAGGTGTAGACGTAGGGCCCTTTTGTGAGACACCGGTTCCTAGAGAGGGGAGATTGGCGAGTGAGGAGTAGACGTCGGGCCCTTCTGTGAGACACCGGTTCAGAGAGAGGGGAGGTTGGCGAGGGAGGAGTAGACATCAGGCCCTTTTGTGAGACAACGGTTCATAGAGAGGGGCGATTGGCGAGGGAGGTGTAGAAGTCGGGCCCTTTTGTGAGCCACCGGTTCAGAGAGAGGGGAGGTTGGCGAGGGAGGAGTAGACGTCAGGCCCTTTTGTGAGACATCGGTTCATAGAGAGGCGAGATTGGCGAGGGAGGTGTAGACGTCGGGCCCTTTTGTGAGACATCGGTTCATAGAGAGGGGAGCTGTCGTTGGGGAACAGGAAGATCGACATATGGACCTTTAATAAGGAATGCATTGCTGCTTTATTTGGAGGAATGGATCAAATTGGACGTTAGCTATATATATAGTGTATCAATATTATAAAAATAGTACATATTGCGTCGTCGGGGCAGAGGAGGCCGGGTATTAATATTATTACTAGGTAACAGTGGACGTAGGGCGTAGGGAGGGAAAATATCGGGAGAGGTATCTGTTGTGTTAGGAAGCCCCATGCAGTAATGTGAAACATTTATCGTGCGGTTTCTGGTTCATAGGTTCCCTAACTAGGGTCTAGTTAAGTGTATAGAGAGGGAAACAAAAAGAATGATGGGGGTCTCATCACTGGTATTGGGACAAATTACGGGTTTTAAATAGTAATTAGGGAATCTGAAGGAGAATGTACTTGTGGTGGGCTTTACCGCGAGTGGGACTGTTCGAGGGGATCCTATTTGCAAATTGTGGCTATATGATCCCAAGTCAAGTGTTGGAGGTGTGTATTTCATACCCTGTTTGGGAATAGACTCTCTCAAACATCTGAACCCAGTCCCGCCTCCTGCTTCTTCCCTTATCCCCCCCCCCCTCTCTCTCTCTCTCTCTCTCTCTCTCTCTCTCTCTCTCTCTCTCTCTCAACTTGTCTTTGTCATTGTCAATGAATACAATACATTAATAACATATTTATTTTCTTACCATCATGTGACGATTGTGTATTATTATATGTGTCTGCATGTATTACGAGAGAAGTCAATAAATAAGTTGGAAAAACTTCCCGACTAATCCCTCTGTCTATATGATTTCAATAAAATATGTTTAAACTGATTAAAACCTCAAAATCTAAATAAACAGACAAGTACATATTGCATTTAAAATTGTTACAAAGGTGAAAATAATCGATCACAAAATTAAATAAGATAACATAAAGCGCGTACCTGACCTAACATGACGTAGCATAAATTACCTTGCCAATTCACGCACCTCTGGCCTACCTATCAGGTTAGGTCCCAGCTCTTATCTTAAATCTATAGTCATGTTTAGTTAGGCAAAATTGACTTTCAACTATTAGTCCCCTTAACAAAACGTGTCCTGGTATATCACTGTCCTGGTATATCACTGAATTGATAAAGGCATACAGATTCAATCAGTGTGTAATCGAAGCTTAATAATTCTAGTAATTAACAAACCAACATCTGCTTGTCAAAATAGAACTGTAAATTTAATATTAACTAACACTCTACCATAACCCAAGCATTTATGGGGTGTTACCTGAACGCATACACCTGTGATTTTATAAAGAATAATGTCACCATCATCAGTGTGAAAGAAAACTAAGACATTAATATCAAGTTTAATATTTGTATTCGATAAATCAATACTTAATATCAATATGTTATTTACAATTGAATTTAAATAGAACAGTAATATACATAAATTTCAGTTATCATTCATATCATGTATTGGGAAAATATTACTTCTAAATACTCTGATGTATTCAAATATATTTTAAAAGATATTAAATAGTGAAACTTGATCAGTACATTGCAAAGTTGTTAGTTGTATGAAGGAGTTCACATAATAATAGGGGAAACTAGACTTCAACTTACTAATATAGAGCACTATGAATTATAAAAGATTTTATTTACATGAGGTACAATACTGTTATCTGCCTTATACTGGTGCAAATTAAATAAAAGTAAGATTAATGCTGTCTTATATAATGTTTGCTTCAATATTTTTGGTCAAATCATAAAAATGTAACATCTTCAAAACACTGAAAAGTGTCTCCTTGTATTTTTGAAGAAGAAGAAAATCAGAATAAAGAAAATGTTTGAAAAACAGTTAAATTTTCCTGTATCTGTGATAAATATATAGTCCCTAACCATTCCTTTATTATCTGATTTTGTTTTCAAAATAAGGATTAAAAGTTATTTAACTCTGTATATTCATTTGAAAGTCTAAGAACAAAATTTGTCGTGAGGGAAAATACATATATGACGAAGGCTGAAATGTTTTAGCTCTTGTAAAGCACAAATGAACGTTTAAAGTTAAAAGCCTGAAAAGTAATTTATAAAATGCCAAAAATAAAAGAAAATGAACTGAAAATGTAAAAACAAATACTTGAAATTAAAGAAAAAAATCTCAGATGAAAGGAAACTATGAGAAAAGAAAAAATCTTAAATTAAAGACAGGGAAAAGCTACTGGTTCCATGAAGAGACTCTGAGCTCATTCAAGATGAAGAAATGAAGCGACACCTGCACAGATTGACCTTTATGAGAGTTGTATAGATAAACTCCCAGTCCAAATATATACAAACAAATTCATTCCTTTTTAATCCTTTTTATTTCAGTAATTGTTGCGTTGTCTGTATTACTGTGTTTTAATTTAACTTTAATAGTTTTTTTATTTGATATAATTTTTGCTTTAAGGCCCAAAGTCCGTCACTAGTGGTCAATTTTGAGTAGCTCACATGATACATGCCTTTTTTGCATAAAGACTGGACTGCCAGATGTATAAACATACATGTTTCACTATAATCTGCATATTATGACTTTTTCACTTTCAAATAAACAATAATATTGTTTTTTCTTGATTCTTTAAAAATGTAATTTGATCACTTATACACCAGTAAGGTACTAATACGTTCCTACAGATTTAGTTTCCCAAGTAAGTTACTAAGATATATATATTAATGAGGGTGTTGTTAAATTTTGATTAACTTTGCTTTATGTAGATCAGCATGTTACTATTATCAAAAATATAAAACTGAAGAAAATTAAAAAGTAAAAACAATATATAAGAATATTTATATAAGCATATGTGCTTGAGTTCCAACAGTTAGGTTTTACATGTATATTCGCTTGTTGAAACTCAGACACTTTTTAAGAAAAAGACTATAATCCCTATCAAAACAGGTCGCCCTATAGGTAAGGGAATCAGCCGAAAATATGACGTACTGTATAGTGAGCGATTCAATTACAATGGTCGTTCTCAATATTGGATCGGTTTTTGGAAAGACCCAGAACGTTTCCTAGTCCTATCAATAATCCAGTCCAGTTTTACCAACAGGTCATTCAGGAACATCCTTTGTTAAGGTCTCCTTTCCGCGACACAATAAACATTTCAAATAAAACCGTTGATAGAAAGTACATTGACACTAATGCAGATTACAGAGGAAAACCTATGTCGAACCCTTACTTTTGTATGAAACGTTGCTAATGGTGAGCTATAGATGACAACTGTACGTCTAAG